AAAGCCGGTAACAACTCTTCAAGTCCTTTCACAAAGTGTCCTTACAAACATAGAGTCTATTGTATCAAACTTCTCATCTTTGGAGCTATCGATATATATGCACCAACGTTCACAACAGATATGTCTTAGGGGCCTATATAAATCTCCAGATTCTCACATAGCTCCATAACATGTAAGTTAGAACCCCTCATGATTCTTTTCTATCTATTGCTTATTAATACCTGTCATGCTCCTGGCTTTCTTATATTTTCTTCAGAAGGCACTGTTTCAGTATATCCTCACACCACAAGTTAACATCACCAACTTTGTACCTGTTACTCGTTGAGCCAGTTTCCTTCACAGAATAAAGTACAGTCAGACCTCTGTATCTGCAGGTTCCCCATCCACACATTCAACCAACCGCAGATCGAAAATATTTGAAAAGGAAAAAAAAAAAAAAACCAGAAAGTTCCAAGAGGCAAAACTTGAATTTGCCACGTGCAGGCAATTTTTGCATAGCATTTACATGGTATTAGGTATTATAAGTAATCGAGAGATGATTTAAAGTGTACGGGAGGATGTGTGTAGATCATACGCAAATGCCATACCATCTTATATATAAGGGACTTGAGTAGGGCAGATTTTGTTATCCTTGGGGGTCCTGGAACCAGTACCCTGCGGGTACTGAGGGACGACTGTACTGGCCAAAGTAATTTCTCTATTTGATTTGTCTTCTTCTCACTAGAGTATGTGGTGGATCCATTCACCTCATTTGACAGGCCACACTTTAATTCATCAAAATGTCTGCTTTCTGGCTTGGAACCTTTGTTTTTCTTCTGGTCCCTGTGACTGGCACTCACCCTTAGCTTTCTTCTTAAAGGCATTTTTCCTAAAGAAATAAATATTTTTTACCACTACACAAGAGCTATTTTGGGGACTTCCCTGGTGGTGCAGTGGACAGAAATCCGCCTGCCAGTGCAGGGGATGCGGGTTTGATCCCTGGTCCGGGAAGATCCCACATGCTGCGGAGCAACTAAACGTGTGTGCCACAACTACTGAGCCTGGGCGCTACAACTGCTGACGCATACCTAGAGCCCACGCTCCACAACAAGAGAAGCCACCCCAATGAGAAGCCCGCACACCACAGTGAAAACCCAACGCAGCCAGAAATAAATAAAATTAAATCTAAAACAAGACAAAACAAAAAATCCTTAAAAAAAAAGTTATTTTGTAGCAAGGATGAAGGAGTAGGTATGGACTGTGGGCTGTGAGGCTCGCCCACTAGTTGGAGTCTTTCTGAGACTCTCCAGACCTGCTGTGGAATGGCACAAATCTGTGCCTTAGGAAATTACAAGTTATTATGTCTTAAGCTTTTCAGGCTGCTAACAGCCAGTCAGTATCGTTAATCTTTAAAAAATATTTTTAAATAATTTCAAAGTTATGGAAGAATTTCCAGAACTGCCATATACCCTTCATCCTGATTTCCCAAATGTTAATAATTTGCCTTCTTTGCTTTACCATTCTTTCCAGATAGATAGATAGATAGACAGACAGACGGATGGGTTTTTTCCCTCTGAACCATTTGACAATAAGTTGCAGCCATGATGCTCATTTACTCCTAAATATATGTGTGTTTCTGAAAAAGCAGGACTTTTTTTTTTAATAAATTTATTTATTTTTGGCTGCGTTGGGTCTTTGTTGCTGCGTGTGGGCTTTCTCTAGTTGCGTTGCTGTGCGTGGGCTTCTCATTGCGATGGCTTCTCCTGTTGTGGAGCACAGGCTCTAGAGCATGGGCTCAGTAGTTGTGGCTCACAGGCTTAGTTGCTCCGTGGCACGTGGGATCTTCCTGGACCAGGGCTCGAACCCATGTCCCCTGCATTGGCAGGCAGATTCCTAACCACTGCACCACCAGGGAAGTCCCTAAAGCAGGACGTTTTTAAAGCAGCTATAGTTCAATATAGAAATTAATGAAATTAACATTGATATAATACTATTATCTTGTTTTCAGACCTTATTGAAATTTTGCCAATTGTCTTACTAATTAAGGTCCTTTATAGCAAAAGGGGGGGGAAATGTTTTTTTTGTCTGTGTGGCCCAGGCTTCAATCAGCAACATGTGTTGTATGTATCTTTATTTTCCTCTAATCTGAAATAATCCCTTAGACCTTTTGTATACACATTATCTTTTATATGTCTATCTATCTGTCTATCTATCTATCTACCTATCCATCTATCTACCTATCTATTATCTGTCTATCTCCATACTGATACTTATAATTCCAGTCCCATGCCACAGGATTCCTTCTGTTATCTCTAATATATATACTTCCTCAATCTTAGAATACACGAAAATCTGTAGCCCATACTACTATGAAAAATAAATCTCACTAGAATTCAATATTTGTTTACAGTTCTTTTCGTCTTTAGCCTAAGAGTATATGCTCAAAAACCAGTGTTGAAAATTTACTTGGATTATGTTATTAATTTGAAATACAGTTAGGTTCATTGCTTTAATTTGTATTTCATTTTAGGCTTTTCTTTTTTCCTCTGTCTTTCTTGATTACGTGTGTGTAACAGACTTCCAATAGTCAGAACTATACAAAAGGCATGCTTAGACAAGTGCCACTCCACTATATTTCCTTTCAGTTTCTTCCCCACCCATCTTTTCCACCCTATTCCACTCATCCCCTATTGGTAACCAATTTTGTCAGTTTCTAAGTTATTCTTGCTGTGTTTCTTTTTGTACAAACGAGCAGATACATGTATATTTTCTTATTTCTCCCAATCTCTTTCATAAGAATAGCATACCACATATTTTCTTGTGCATTTGTTTTTTCATTTAACGCTACATTCTGGAAATCACTCCGTATCAGTTCACAGAGATTTTCATTCCTTTTTAGCTCTGCATAGTCTCCCATGTATAGATTTGCCATAGTTGATTCAATCATTCTCCTCTGTATGAACATTTAGGTTGTTTTCAATATTTTTCAATTACAATTATGCAATTGATAACTTTGTGCGTATATGTTCTTATTTGTTGGAAGTGTATATTTAGGATAAGTTTCTAGAGTGGGACTGCTAGGTCAGTAGGTAAACACATAGGTGGTTTTGTTAGATATTGCCAATTCCCCTCCAAGTTTGTACCAATTTGCATTCTCACCACCAATGTAAGAGAGAGCTTGCTTCAACCCAGTCTCACCAATAGAATGTGTTATCTTACTTTTTTTTTTTTTTGCCCAATCTCATAGGTTAAAAAATGGTTTCTCACTGTGGTTTTAATTTGCATTTCTGTTATTATGAGTGAGAATGTATGTCTTTTCAAATGTATCTTTTCGTGTGTGTGAATTGTCTGTTCATGTCTTTTGCCTATTTTTCTGTCAAGACTTTGATCTTTTTCTCCCTTCAGTTATTGAGTTCTTTATATGTTCAGACTCAGTTCATTGTCTGTAATGTATACTGCAAATACGTTCTTCCTCTTTGTCATTTGTCTTTGCTTATTGTGTTTTGTGTCATGCAAATATGTTTTTTTTAATTTAGCCAACATTATTGATCTTTTCTTTTATTGGCTCTAGATACTTACAAGCCTTCCCTGCACTCAGGTTACCAGGAATTCACCCTGTTTTCTTCTAACATTTGTATGGATTCATATGCTTACATTTTCATCTCTGATTTATTTGGAGTTCTTATGATTGCTGGGAGAAATGTATATAATTTTTATCTTTTTCAAATAGCTATGCAATTGTACTAGCACCTTTCATTTAAAAATTCTAGTCCGTTATGTAAAAAGCCCTTTTCCTAGAGATGCAGCCTTTATCATATGCAAAATTTCCAACCTACTTGGGTCTGTTTCTGGACTTCCTATTCCATTCAGTGGTTTGGCTGTCTATTTATGTAGCAGTTCTACACTGTTTTAATTATACAGACTTTATAGTATGTGTCAATATAAAATATGGGAAGGTTTATTTGTAAATGGAGGAACCTCTGTATATTACCTATGAACAAAACTTCTTTCCAATATACCTAAATTTAATAGATACATCAGCAGTAAAATAGAAAACATCAGTAATACATGGAAACTTCAGTAAATGAAACATGAACTACCATTGGTTCTATTAGTATATGCTTCAGATTCTTTTAAAAATTTATGTTCTCTTTCTATAAGAATCTAAGATGGTTTGGTTCCACTCCATTTATTCTTAGTATCAGACTTTGCTTATCCAGGGCGATTGCTACGTGGGAGAGGGACCATAAAATCTCATGACTAACACTCATGCCAGGGTAATGAATATGGGTTGGTTTGATATGGAATGCATTTCTTCTTATCACATAAATGACCCTCACATGATGAGAGGACAACATTTTAAAGTACAAACCTAGTCCTGCTTGCTCTGAAGAAAATTCTCCAAAGTCAAATGTACTTAGGATTCTTTCCTAATTTTAGTGATTTAGAAGGAGGAGTGTTATTTAATTGCCAACACTCTTACTTACCCAAAGTCTGCAAAATTTATCTGCTGCCTTGCGCTGGATATGCTGCAAAGTATGTGTACATCGGGTAGTTTGGGCTTACATCTTGCATCTGATTTAAACAGCGGCAGGTGTCAACTAAGACAGATGCAAATGTCACACTGAAATCTTGGGTTATCTACTGCAGCTATACTTTATCACTCTTCAGTAGTTGCTCACCAAATCATTAAAATAAAATGTTCATATTTGAATATATCTTTGGATTAGCTCGGCATAAGAAATTCTTAGAAATCACTTCAGTATGATATCTTAAAATTGTATCTCCATTCACATTAACAATATAAAACTCTTCAGAAAGCAAAAATAGATCCTAGATGTATTCTGAAATTATACACACACACATACACACATACACACACATACACATACACACATATATTTTACAATCTATTCTTAACCTGTTTATGTGGTATATTTGTTTTGAAAGACAGTAAAATTTAAGGTGCCATTATTGAGCTTGGTCATATTAATTTTAGTGATTTCTTATTTAATTTACAGTCGGCAATCAGTGGATAAATTACATATCCTTCTGTGGTCTTAGAACACACGCAGAGCTTGAAGGAAACCTCGTCACTGAGCTTATCTATGTCCACAGCAAGTTGCTAATTGCTGATGACAACACTGTTATTATTGGTAAGTACTTGGTCTCTAATTGTATTCCTTGTTAGTTGCCTTAACTCATGCAACAGTCTTTCTTTTTATTCCTCTAAAGCTTCCTTTGCAGTTGAAAGGGACAGTCACACAGTTATCTAAAACATTTCCGAAGCAATCTTTTTTGCTTATGTCCTGTCTAATCCCTGCTTTTATCTATGAAGTAACAGAACCACAGAACAATCAAATGGCCATCGTGTAAATTACAGTGTCCAGAGACAGCAATTTAACCCAGCAGTGCAATAATCAGCCTGCTTTCATTAATTCTTTATTATTCCCTTATTTTTATTTTGAATCCAAGTACCTAGATTTCTGGGCTTGGAAGGAGGAGATGTGGGGAGGGAAATGTGTCACAAATGAGTACCTCGTGGTAATTTGTACGTGCGCGCATCACACCCACCTAAGCATTACCACAGATTTGAAGTTTTGCGAGAGTTAGGATCAGAAGGATATTAAAGTATTGCTGCCTCTGTGCTTACCATTTTTTCCCCGGAGTCAATGTTTTGGATGTTATTAATCAGAGTGCAGAGCAGACCAGCTTTGTTGGGGGCGGGAGTGAGGTGGAAATTGTGTAGTAATGATATGATGTAGTCCTAGACTAAGGTCTGCAGTCTGTTCCTGCAGTCCTCGCCCCACTGACAGATTCGGGAGAGTTACTGGTTGTACATTCTACCCAGATTAGATCTTGACCAGAGGGGTGGGTTTGCAGCTTCATTCTTGTATACACCTGAAAAGCTTCATTTTCCCATCATTGAATTGGTTTGCCTTCTAATATCATGTTACACAAACACTGAAAGGCCAGGAGGAGAAATAGAGTATAAATAACCAACCAGATAAATGAATTGACAAGGGTGGGGGGGATGTTACTTAGAGATATGCTGTGTCCCACTATTGGGAATTGCACTCATCCATTTTAAATAAAAGGTAGTTTCTCAGCTATAATAAGATACTTAACTATTCTTTAAGAAATTAAGTGTCATGGGGTGTTTCGAAAAATTTTGGCAGTAAATATGCCTTTTCCAGGTCTATCCTCCACTGAGAAAAGAAAAAAAAAATCTCATACCTAGGAGTAATGAGACTGTCTTGTCTGGAACAAGATTTGAAAAGAAAAAGTAGTTCAGAAGCCAGAAAATGCATAGACCACAGTGTGGTGATACATATATATATATATGTGTACACACACAGACATTCTTTTTTTTTTTTTTTGCTGTACGCGGGCCTCTCACTGTTGTGGCCTCTCCCGTTGCGGAGCACAGGCTCCGGACGCGCAGGCGCAGCGGCCATGGCTCACGGGCGCAGCCGCTTCACGGCATGTGGGATCTTCCCGGACCAGGGCACGAACCCATGTGCCCTGCATCGGCAGGCGGACTCTCAACCACCGCGCCACCAGGGAAGCCCCAGACATTCTTTTAATACTTATCGAGCATTTAAGAAATATATCTTGTGTCTTCAAGTTCTTGCTCAATAGGGGTCAAAGCTCTTTAAGGATTTATCTCTTCCCTTACTTCCCCCAATATACAAGTTTTCTCTTATTTCCTGCAAGCTATTCTGGTCTTGCTTTTCAGAAGCCAATCTCAGAATATTTTTATATTAAATTTGGCAATGACAGTGAGGAAAGGAAAAATATTGATTTTGCTGAAATGAAAAAACAAACAAAGCCAGATAAAATTCAGTTGATCTCTTCAGCAAGATTTCATAACTCTTGAAGTAAAAATTGACAGATGTAAATATTTTCCTTTTAAAGGTCATTTTGACCTTCAGCCTGCTTTACTTTACATCAAGTATAAATGCAAAGTAGTTTTCAGTATCTGAGCTAACAGTTAAACAGATTTGTAGAGTTTTTTAGTTGACTTATTTCTTGAAAGGTCTCTGACCCCTCAAAGGCTACAGTTTATTTAGGCTAGCAATAATGGATCCATTTTGCACGTCGTTCTTACCGACTTTCTTGAAACTGAAGATGTGGCCTCGGGAGTATGACGAGGTCTCACATGCTACTCTTTAGAGGCTGCACTTCTTTTTCTCCTTCCCCAAGGGCAGAACACATTTCCCCCGTGGAAAATCCACAGGTACTTTTGTTCTTTTTATCTCAGTGGAAACTCTAGGAGAAGCAGGCTTGTTATTGCTGCTGTCAGATATCTGGCCTGTTTTCATAACACAGACAGAGAACAATGTTTAAAATTCTCAAAGAGGAACTTGAGAAGTTAGGTTGACAATATTTTACAGGTGTTAAGCAAGTAGTTGAGAGCTTAAAAGGAATTAAAGTAACCTGTGATTAAATTTTCTAACATGGCAGACTTATGCCAGAATCATTGAATAATTGATGTAAGAAAAATGACTAATGGTTTATCCTCATTTATTTTCCTCACAAGGAAATACTTGGTTTCTCACATTGAGATCTCTTTTGTGTATACCTTTAATTATCTCTTACCCCCGGTGGCCCTGTTGGTCCCGAAATCTGTGACCAAGTCCAATTTTCTAATTCATCTTACTGGCACTTAACAGAACTAACATTTATTTGCTTTCCTAAACAAAACAAGGCTATCCTTAAATAGAATTTAAGTCTATCCTGTTGACTAAGTGAAACGATTTTTTTTAGTATTCACTAATCCGTTGCACAACACAATAGGGAGATACAAAACATGATCACACAGTGCCACTGCCCTACACAGCTCATGGGCTACAGGGGAGGCAGGTATTCTTTCCACTAAACACCAGAAACATCAGGATGGATATTGATGAACTGGCGCGAGAAGGTCCAGAGACGGTCAGCGAAGGTGGGTATGTGGGAAACTATGGAGAGAGAATGGATATCAGTGCTTAAGGGGCAGGCTCGAGAGCAGCTGTTGAGAGTCTGTAGTTGAAAGGCCACCCCAGTAAAGAGCGAGTCCCGTGGGTCTCAACCCTGGCTGCCTTAGGTTTGCCTGGTGGCTTTTTTTTTTTGGTGGACTATCCTTTTTTAATTAAGCTATTATATATAGTAAATTGCATAGACCTTAAGTGTACAGCTTAATGAATATTCACATATGTTTACATTCATGTAACCACCACCCAGAACAAGATACAGAATATTTCCATCACTCTGACAGGTGTCTTCCTGTCTCCACTCAATCAGCCCCTAAAATGTTTTCACTGTCACCACTGGACAATTTTGAACACAGATGAGTTTCAGTTCAGATAAATGAAACTATCATTTAGGGGGAAGATTATTCATGTCTGCAATTTACTTTCAAATAGATTCCCCCCCCCCAAAGATGGATTAATTGATAGATGAAGGGATGGAGTGGTATTAGGGGAAAATATTAATGCCTGGTTCCTACTTCCAGAAATTCTGACTCATTGGTCTGGTTTGAGACCCAGGCATCAAGGTTTTCTTGCTTTTTGTTTTTGTTTTGGCACCAATATCTTTTGAAAGCTTCCTAGGTGATGCCGCCGTGTAGTCAAGCTGAGAACTCCCAAACTGTAGGCACAGGGAACACAAGTGGGTAGAAAGTACTGAGTAGCCCACTGATGCTCAGTTAAAGAATCAGTTTTCCTTTAAAACAAGTAAGCTAAAACAGGGTAGAGTTTGTGTGTTAGTTGTCTATTACTGCTGTAACAAATGACCACAAACTTACTGGCTTAAATCAGCGCAAATGTATTATCTAACCATTCTATAGGTTAGAAGTTCAACATGGGTCTCACTGGGCTAAAATCAGGATATCAGCAGGGCTGTGTTCCCTTCTGAGGCTCTAAAGATGAATCCATTTCCTTGCCTTTTCCAGCTTCTCCGGGCCGCCCACATTCCTTGGTTCATGCCTCCCTTCTTCCATCTTTGAAGGCAGCAATGTTAGATCTCTCTGAAAGTTCTCAAAATGTCAACCCATTCTTCTGTAACCGCATCTCTCTCTGAATCCCCTTTACTTTTTTTTTTTTTTTTTTTGGGCGGTGCGGGGCCCTCTCACTGCGGTGCCCCCTCCCGCCGCAGAGCACAGGCTCCATACGCGCAGGCTCAGCGGCCATGGCTCACGGGCCCAGCCGCTCCGCGGCACGTGGGATCCCCCCGGACCGGGGCGCGAACCCGCGTCCCCTGCATCGGCAGGCGGACCCACAACCACTGCGCCACCAGGGAAGCCCCCCTTTACTTTTAAAGACTCTTGTGATTATCCTGGGCCCAACTGAATAATCCAGGATAATCTCCTTATTTTTAAGGTCAGCTGATTAGCACCCTTAATTCCACCTCCACCTGCAGCCTTAATTCCCCTTTGCCATGTAATATAACATATTCACAGGCTTTGGGAATTAGAACATAGTCATCTTTGGGAGCCATTATTCTGCCTACCATAGAAGAATTCACAATTTCTGAAACAGGACATCTTATTTTATTTTATTTTATTAATTTTTTTTTTTTTTTTTTGCGGTACACGGGCCTCTCACCACTGTGGCCTCTCCTGTTGCGGAGCACAGGCTCCAGACACGCAGGTCCAGCGGCCATGGCCCACAGGCCCAGCCGCTCCACAGCACGTGGGATCCTCCCGGACCGGGGCATGAACCTGCGTCCCCTGCATCGGCAGGTGAACTCCCCACCACTGCGCCACTTGGGAAGCCCTGAAACAGGACATTTTAAAAAAGCAAAACCACAAAGGAAATGACAGATAAATCCAACTGCATTAAAATTCAGAACTTTATTCATTAAAAGATGCTATAAATAGAATAAAAAGCTAAACCACAAACTGAAAAAAGGTATTTGCAATACAGTTAATATTCAAAACATATAAAGAACTCCTTAAATCAATAAGGAAAGACAGTATCCGAAGAAAGATGGGCAAAGGAACTGTATAGGAATGTCCCCAAAGAGGACATACCTGAGGCCCATAAGTATATGAAACATGTTCATCCTCATTAATACAATAATGAGACAAAGAACAGGTTTTCAAAATACCAATTGGCAAAAATTAAAAATTGGACAATCCATGGGCTTCCCTGGTGGCGCAGTGGTTGAGAGTAAGCCTGCCGATGCAGGGTACATGGGTTCGTGCCCCGGTCCGGGAAGATCCCACATGCCGCAGAGCGGCTGGGCCCGTGAGCCATTGCTTCCACCTTTTGGTTCTTATGAATAATGCTGCTGTGAACATAGGTGTACCAAAAAAAAAAAAAAAAAAAAGGAACAATCCAAGTATTGACAACACTGAGGAACACCAGGGACTCCACTCTTGCATACAGAGCGCAGGTAAACTCCTACATGTGTACACCAGGAAACATACACAACTATGCAGAACATAATTGTGTATTATAGCAAAACTCTGGAAACGACCCAAACATCCATCAACAGTAGAATGAAAAAATAAGTTTGGGTGGGACACAGTTTTTCAAGGCAGGATCCCGCTGTGTTCCCCTTTGCCTGGCAAAGCAGGAAAGCTATCCTTTTCTACTTTGCCCAAAACTGTGTCTCTTAGATTCAGTTTGGCACAGGTGTACAGAGAGGCTGAGCTTTTGGCATCAGGACTCCTGCAGGTAAAGACAGTCCAGTCTTGAGGGCCATGGCTAGTGAGGGGCAGGGGTCGTTAAAGAAATACTGACTCCCATCTTGTTCTGTGCTTTACCCAACCTGAAAAGAAAAAAGTCATCCCTCTGATAAATGCTTATTGAGGGCCTACTCTGGTCTGGGATGCAGGAGGTGGGGGGCTGGGGGGGTCAGGCAGGTCAACAAATGATGCATTCTTATGACAAAAAGATGCAGTCGGGGGCGGGGCTGGGGGAACTGTGGCACATGAGAGGCAAGCCCCATCTAAAGGCATCCGCTAATAAAAAACGTGTTAAACACGTCCCCTCTGTGCTTTAAACCCCAAGAGTGAATGACTTCTCCCTTTTGAGAGTTTACCATCTTGTGGGGAAAATCAGGTAAGCTACAGACAAATGAGGCGCTATGAGAATATACTGTTTCTCTCTCTCTCTAAGTATATATTTATATATACATAGAGAGAGAGAGGAGAGGGAGGCGGAGGGAGAAATGGGGTGGAGGGAGGGAGAGGGAGACAGGGAGAGAGGAGAGGTGGGAAGTGATGTCTAAACTGAGACCTGAAAGGTGAGTAAGGCTGAAATAGGCACTGGGTGGTGAAGGTAACTGAGATTCCAAGATTGCAAGCAGCCCATGTAAAGGGGATTTTTAGCCTCTGCCAGACTGCTTATCTTGCATTCCTCACCTCATAGGGTACTTTGTTCTTGTCCTCTTTTCTTTATCATTGTGTTAGGTTAGGTGATAAACGGGGGTGGGGGGGGTGGTGATGCTTCCACCTGGGTTCCCACCTGTGCTATTTAGGCTGCCCAGGAGTGAGGAAAAAATAAAAATAAAATAAAATAAAATAAAATAAAAAGTTTGGGGGTGCTCATTCAAGGAAAATAATGCATTACAATTATGCATAGATAAATCCCAAAGACATGATTTTGAATGAAAGAAGCAAATCTCCAAAGATTATCTTCTATATGATTCCACTTACACAAATTAAAAATAAGCCAAAAGTAAATTTTTTGTTTAGGAAAACATCATCAGAGCATGATGAACACAAAATTCTACACAAATTCTCTCTTAGGAAGGGAAGGTCGTTAATGGGAAGACAGCTGAGGGCTTCTGGGATGTGGTAATGTTCTGTTTTTCAGCTTGGGTGATAAATTCAGTGATTTTCTAAAATTATTACCTAAGTTGGACTTATAAGTTTTCATGTACTGTTTTCTATTTTGCTATATTACATACTGTTGAAAAAGTTCCTAAGAGCAAACTTAGAAAAGGTTATTTTCCAAAAATTATCAAGGCAGTGTCCTAATAAACCAAGGGATTGCAGTTACCATAAAACATAGTACATGAAAACAGAGCATATTTCTTGTGAACAATTAAAACTCTAAGGGCTCATAGAGAGTAAAAGGTCAAAATTCGCCTTATTGTCTCCCTCTCTTTGCCAGAAGGTACTCACCACTCTTACCCTTCAGTGTGCATCTTTCTAGAGGTCACTTGCCCTCTCTTCTTCCTAGTATGTTCTATAGAAATGGGTTAATACTATACCTGCTGTTCTGAATTTGATTTTCAGAATATGGGAATGTTTAACAACAAGAAGGGAGGTAACATTTACATCCATCAATATCTCATTTTCGGTATCTCATTTATTAAATTCACCTGAAATTTTCTCTTCCCTTTCTTCACATTCCTATTAAGTAGTAGCCAACTCACTTATCCAGTGTGGTTGAGAGTCAGTGCTCTGGGAAACTCCAGATGGGCCCAGGAAGTACAAGAACCACACCCTCTAAGACTTCCAGCTCAGAATGCCAGGAATGCATTCCTCCCCTGGCGATGGGAGGAAGTCTGAGAGGACTGGTGTGAAAGTGTGTGTGTGTGTGTGTGTGTGTGTGTGTGTGTGTGTGTGTGTGTGTGTGTGTGTGTGTGTGTGTGTGTGGCTTTCTAGGGGGCTCACATCCCCAGTCTCCCTGACGGTGAAGAGCAGCTATGTCCTCCCAATTCGGCAGCCCCGGCCCGAGAGTGGCCTCTGTTGGGGCCCTGTGGTAGTGATGTCCCAAAGCAGCACTGTGGAGTCCTTATTCCTTGCCCCTGACGGTTGATTCACCCAGAGAGGAGGCTTCTTTGATACAAACGCTACATGCCAGCAAGTCTTCCCTTCCTATGGCAATGTTCTCTAGTGCAGATATTCTCGAGGTAACGAGTATCTGATAATAATGCCAGTAATAATTAGCATTTGTGGGGCAGTTTATAGATCAGTAAGTGCTTTCACATGGTCTTACTTAATTTTTACAACAGCCCTACAAGGTCTGTATTATAATCTCGATTTATAAAAGATCAAATTAAAACTGAGAAAGATTAAATGACTTTGCCCAAATTAATGCTGGGCCCCATGTTAAGCCCAAAGACATGGCTACAAATTTTATAGTGTAATTAAAATGTAAGTGTATGTATAAAGGTTGATTTGTTGCTAACAAAACAAAGTGTTCCAAAGGTGGGGCCCACCTTACAGCGCTCTAATGGTGCTCCCAACTTTCTGTGAGGTGCTCCATCCTTTCTGTCACCCAGAGTCCCTATGGGACACCATTCCCATCCACAGTTATCATAGAGTTGTGTATTAACTATGTGACCATATTGTAGCAAATGGCAGTAAAGACTCTTCAGGAAGAGCCAGCTTCCTCTCATGTCCAACATCCCACCATCTGGGCTCTGGGTAGGGCTGCTAACACCTTACACCCTGATGGTCCCCATCACAGACGGTAGCCCGAGCTTGTGTTCAACCTAACTCTTCTGCTCCCTGTCTGCAGAAGCCATGGAGTGTGGGACTAGGGCAAGAGGAGCAAGAAGAAAAAAGAGGCCCCTTTTGTAGTTTGTAGGACACCTCAAGGATTCAAAAGTGTGAATCCTGGGGCTTCCCTGGTGGCACAGTGGTTGAGAGTCCACCTGCCGATGCCGGGGACACGGGTTCGTGCCCCGGTCTGGGAAGATCCCACATGCCGCGGAGTGGCTGGGCCCGTGAGCCATGGCCGCTGAGCCTGCGCGTCCGGAGCCTGTGCTCCGCAATGGGAGAGGCCGCAGCAGTGAGAGGCCCGCGTACCGAAAAAAAAAAAAGTGTGGATCCATGATGATTAGTGCAAAAATGTTGTAAGGTTTTTGAATACACAGCAGAAGAGCGCAGGAAGTGCAGGTTGAACTAATATTCAAAGACTTGCCCTTCACATGTGAAAGTCAGCATTCTCAGCTCCTTAGGATTTAAAAATAGAATGGAGGGAAGTTGATACAGAAGCTGTTGACATGCCACACAAGTGAGGCAAGAGAATGAAAACCCAAAGCCACTAATGATAATCTGTATTTGGGAGTGGACTATATTGCTTGTGAAGGTCCTCTTGTGTTTTGACATTTATAATTATGTGACCATGAGTTAAAAGTCTACAGAATTTGATTCTTAAGTATGAAACCTTACTACACTGAGCTGGTAAGTGTTCTTGTTTCTTTGTGTGCTTAATGACTATATCAGTTAAAATCCTTTGAGCCACAAGATAGAAAATTCAGCTAGAAGTATATGAAACAATAAGGGAAATGTATTACTTCACATAACAGACAATAAGAAGGTTCTAGGGTTGGCTAGCTCAGTGACTTAAAAGACCTGGAGTCTTTCTTCGTTCTGCTCTGCCATGTTCAACTTGTCTGTTTGTCCCTTGGTTACAAAGTGGCTGCAGCAGCTCCCACAATCATGTCCTCATGCAGCCCTTCAAGCCAGAGTATCCAAAGACTGGAAGTGACACCATCTTGTTCTTCTATCTATTTATAAGAAAGAGAAAAACTTCCTCAGAAGCCCCTGGCAGATTTGCCTTTTGTTGCATTGACTAGAATCATGACAAGTGCCCATTTCTAAGCCAATCACTGGCAAAAACAATGAAATGACCGTGACTGGCCTTAGACTGATCAAGATTTACCCCTGGGTTAGGGAGCACCCTGCCTTCCTAGAGCACAGCATCTCTTGATACCTGAACAAAATTAGGGGTTTTTTAGCAAGGAAGAATTGAGTCTGGAGGGCAAATGAGTGTCTGCCAGAACAAGAAAATTGTTCAGTTTCACTGTTTCTCCTTATAGGCTCTGCCAACATAAACGACCGAAGCATGCTGGGAAAACGGGACAGTGAAATGGCTGTCATTGTGCAGGACGCGGAGACGGTCCCTTCAGTAATGGATGGAAAAGAGTACCAAGCTGGCCACTTCGCCCTAGGACTTCGGCTGCAGTGCTTTCGGTGGGTCTCGGAAGCTGGGTCTCCCTCACATAATCCCGCTGCAGTGGGCAATGGAACCCAGCCCAGCCTCTGGCCCTTAGCACACATGCCATCTCCAGGTTCTTCTCTGTCCAAAACAGCGTGAACCACACCTGTCGTATACAAAATGGCTCTGTGTGGGGCATAAAAATTTCCTGTTTGAACAGCTTTTATTATTTTTATGTGTAGTGGAGAAAACTAGCATTTTAAATCTATTAATTGATTTAGGACCAGGTCAAACCATCTAGTGTCTATTTAAGTTTTTTATAGTGAGTCCATTTTTAGAAATTGAAATAGTTCCAGCGATACAAGGATATGATAAAAATTACTAAAGGAGAAAGTTAGTGACTACTGGTGTTAAATTAAATGTGGAAACTTCATTTCTCAGATTTAAGATGACTCCAGACATGGAAGATTCCTGATCTTCTGCAAGAAGATGTGAATTTTAAACAAACCTGTGGTCCAACAGAGAGAGCACTGGGCTAAGTAGCAGGGGGTGTGTATCCCTAAATAAGTCCTTCATTCAGTTAAGTGTTACTGAGAACTTTCCTGGGCGGGGCTCTAACTGGCCCCATCCCAGCCCCTGTAGTCCAGTCTCAGTTGTCAGAGTGATCCTTCGAGAACCTAACTCAGGTCCTATCACTCCTCTATTCAACCAATCCTCAATGCCTTCTTATCTCTTTTTTTTTTTTTTTTCAAATGGCTTCTTATCTATCTCCTGACCCTCTCCCCCAGCCCACTGAAGACACACTAAGCTCCCCACTGTCTGTGGAACACACCCTGACCACTCTCCCACCTGTAGGCTTTTGCAGGAAGTCCACAATTCTAAGATTCTAGAACTATATTGGCCAGGATGGGATTTCAGTGTGGCCTCTGTGGTGAGATAGAGCCAAGTGTCCCCGATTAAGGGTGATATTTTAAGCTATTTGATGAAAGGCACTGCACAGATACTGTTGTGGTGCTGTTGTTTTAACCCTTCCAGTGTTAATGGTCGCTTCTGAAAACTGGCTCACTTGCAAATGGGCACAAAACCGGCACTTCCCTCCTGCAAATGCTGGCGGCCCTTACCTCCTACCTCACTCCAGACTCTGGCTTTTGAGGACCAAGCTTCAGTTCCAGAGACGTTCCTTAGGCTCCCTCTGCCCCAGGAGCTCAGCAAATCCATCCCTCAAAATTTGCCTGTCAGACCTTCTCACAGTTTTTATTGCTGTATTTATCGCCTTTGTTACTAATTGTTTTGTCAGTAAGGTTTTTGTTTTTGTTTTTTTTTAGACCATTGATATTTTAATTGACTTCTAATGTTAATTTGTTTTGTTTAGCCGGGGAGAGTTTAAGATTAGCAACCCACTGTTAATCAACCCCCCACTGATTGCCTACTGCAGCTCATATAAGGAAACAAATATTTTCTCCTGTAAGCTAGAAATAAATGTCACACCTTTTCAGTTCCATGAGAACTTAAGTATTCTCTTTAAAGGCGTAGCCTCCTTTATAACTTTCTAAATGTATAATAATTATAGAGGGAGAGGGTTCTGATTACAACATATTTTTCATTGTAGAAAATTTGGCAAACAGAAAAGCAATAAGGAAATTAAATTGATCTGTAATCCCCTCACCCAGTGCTAACAATTTTAACATTTGATGTGTATCATTCCACTTTTTTTCTCTATATAAATATTCACTACTGTATTTCTTTTTTTAAGCATAATTAGGATCTTGCAGTTCTACAAAGGCCTTTATTACTTAAATAACGTTACACACACTTTTCCATGTCATTGCATTCTTCTATAACGTTTAGTGGCTGCATTGTATTACATTGTTTGAGCCCGCCATAATTCCTTTAACCAAAACCTCATTGATGGGCAGATTTTTCGCTGATATAAAAAAGTGGGTATGGTTGTAGATAGTATCTTGCTTACCTTCTTAGTTGTTTCCTTAACTAAATCCTAACTATAGGATTTCCAGCCAAAGGAAGTGTGCAATTTCCTTTGCCCTCTGAGTTCTATTATTATCTTTGCCGATTTGTTGGGTTTCAAATGGAATTTCGTTATTTTAATTTGCAATTTGAGGGTTTAAAAATGTATCCATTAGCCATCTGTAATTGTTCTTTTTTTTTTTTTTTTAACATCTTTATTGGGGTATAATTGCTTTACAATGGTGTGTTAGTTTCTGCTTTATAACAGAGTGAGTCAGTTATACATATATATATGTTCCCATATCTCTTCCCTCTTTGTCTCCCTCCCTCCCACCCTCCCTATCCCACCCCTCCAGACGACCACAAAGAACCGAGCCGGTTTCCCTGTGCCATGCGGCTGCTTCCCACTGGCTATCTACCTTACGTTTGTTAGTATATATATGTCCATGTCTCTCTCTCGCCCTAACTAGACTATTCACGTCCTTTGACCATTTTTTGGGAATGTTTCACTTTCTTTTAATGATTTATCAGTAATTTAAGTACATAAGAGCCTAATTTCTTTCTCCCATTTGTTGCAAAGCTGATTTGCCAATTGCCTTTTAATCATATTTAGAGTATTTGGGGGAACCATCAATTCTTTTTTTGCGGCACACGGGCCTCTCACTGTTGTGGCCTCTCCCGTTGTGGAGCACAGGCTCGGGACGCGCAGGCTCAGTGCCCATGGCTCACGGGCCCAGCCGCTCCGCGGCATGTGGGATCTTCCCGGACCGGGGCCCGAACCCGTGTCCCCTGCATCGGCAGGCAGACTCTCAACCACTGCGCCACCAGGGAAGCCCAAAACATCAATTCTTTTTTTAAATTAATTTATTTGTTTTTGGCTGTGTTGGGTCTCCGTTTCTGTGCGAGGGCTTTCTCTAGTTGCGGCGAGCAAGGGCCACTCTTCATCGCGGTGCGCGGGCCTATCACTATCGCGACCTCTTTTGTTGCGGAGCACAGGCTCCAGACGCGCAGGCTCAGTAGTTGTGGCTCATGGGCCTAGTTGCTCCGCGGCATGTGGGATCTTCCCAGACCAGGGCTCGAACCCATGTCCCCTGCATTGGCAGGCAGATTCTCAACCACTGCGCCACCAGGGAAGCCCAACATCAATTCTTATTAATCAAATCTATCAGTTTTTTTCTTTTCCCCCCTTTTTAAAAATATGCTTAGAATAGCTTCCCCAAGATAAAATATTTACTTATATTTTCTTCTAGTGCTCATTTGATATTACTTTTACATTTAACATCTGCAATTTATTTTTATTAATTTTTTAATAAATTTATCTATTTATTTATTTATTTTGGCTGTGCTGGGTCTTTGTTGCTGCACACGGGCTATCTCTAGTTGCGGCGGGCGGGGCCACTCTCCGTTGCAGTGCGTGGGCTTCTCATTGCGGTGGCCTCTCTTGTTGCAGAGCACAGGCTCTAGGCATGTGGGCTTCAGTAGTTGTGGCTTGCGGGCTCTAGAGCACAGGCTCAGTAGTTGTGGTGCATGGGCTCCACGGTATGTGGGATCTTCCCAGACCAGGGCTCGAACCCATGTGCCCTGCATTGGCAGGCGGATTCTTAACCACTGCGCCAACAGGGAAGCCAACATCTGCAATTTATTTTAATGTAAGAAATGAGGTAGGGACTCTAACCCTTTTTCCCAGGCAAACCAACTGATCCAGAACTGCGTGACTGCAGTACTCATTGCCTCTCTAACCTGCAGTGCCTCTTGACGGTGCACCGAATTGCCACATATCCCGACCTATCTGTACTCTCTGCTACATCCTATTGAAAGTCTGTTGCCTTGCATGCCATTATGATACCATTTTAATTATCGTAGATGTGCACTTTAATACTACTTGCTACCATTCCACTTCCCCAAATGAGTATTCTTTTCCAGAATGATCTTGGCTACTCTTATTCATTCTTCCACACGAACTTTAAAATTGTTTATTCAAGTTCTCTCACTAGTTTTTTGATCAGGACTACAGTATATTTATAGATTAATATAAAAAAGAGTTGATGTCTTTATAATATTGAGCCAACCTATTGAGGAACAAGGTATGGACTTCAATTTATTCACATTTTTTTGTTCTTCAATAAAGCTCTAGGGTTTTCATTATTGGAAGCAGAAGTTGTTCTTCAGTGATCATTGAAGTTTTTTGTTGCTGTTCTTTTGGTTTCATGCTGATCCTATGCATTTCATGCTAAGTTTATTCCTAGATGCTTTATTTTTCCTGGCAACTTTCAAACTGTCTTGAAGAGGCAGTTGTTCTTGAACAAGCATTTTCACTTTGCCACAATGGCAGACACAAATAATACATTAAAAAGCACCATGAAAACCTTGTGTTGATTTTAGCTCTTTTTATTAGGGAATATTCTCAAAGATAAATGTGACCTAGAGCAGAGCCATTTTCTCCCTTAAAAAAATGCAACTTCAATCCATTTTCCATCTGGGCTATTTTTGAATAGAAATAGAGAGGCACATTTTGATGTGAAATCAATTCTAAATAGAATCAACCATCAGGGTACTGCACTAAATGTCACAACTGCATGCCAAACAGTTCATTAAGTCCTAGAAAATTATCCATACTTTACAGATGTAACCATCACTCAACAGAAACCATTATCCACACAAGTAGAGCTCAGAATCATTTACAGTGATAGACATGAGGAATGGAAAGAACAGAAACAATTTTCTGCAGTTTTCCTACTGTCCCACTGATGCATAAACAATTAAACATTAAATAATTGACATTATTCACGTCAACATAAAATCAGATTTGTTTTCTCTGAAACCTTACTCCTCTAAAGAACATCCAGAGTATTTCATATTATTTTTACTGTATAAATTTTTTATAATTAAAAAACTGAGAGGGGGGCTTCCCTGGTGGCGCAGTGGTTGAAAGTCCGCCTGCCAATGCAGGGGACAGCCCAGCACAGAACACGTTTTATCTACTAGTTTTTAGAACATTTTTGTAAAATGATTTTGTATGTGTAGGATATGAAGTAGCAGTTTACAAATTACATATTAACTAATAATACATCAGAAGTACCTCTGTAGTAAAATATGAAAAAAAAAAAAAAAAAAAAAAAGACAGGGAAAATAATTTATTACTGAACATTGTCTGTTATAGACTTATTTAAATACTTTTTTCTATACACAGGCTCTTAACTGATAACTTGATAGACACATTGCCTCACCTCCTGTTCTCATTTAAAAGCAAAGTCATAGAAATATTCTTTCAGCTCTGTTTTCAGTTGGTTAGATGCCACCCAAATCAAAGGCATTACTATAATTGAATTATTGTTATAACTTGCACTGTCCTTCAAATTTGGCATGGTTAAATTTTGCTTTGGTTCTTAAGGAGCGGCAGCATCTAGGTGCAAACATCATCCTTTAGAACCTTTTTGAAAGTTATTCCTATATAGTCTGAGGGAGACATTATTTGAAGTGGAAATAGAATTTTGAGGTTATAAAACTCTAGGAATCCTAGTGAGCCCAGGTGCCAGATCCATTTATTTTATTTTTTTTTTTTATTTTTTTTTTTTTTATTTTTATTTTTTGCGGTACGTGGGCCTCTCACTGTTGTGGCCTCTCCCGTTGCGGAGCACAGGCTCCGGACGCGCAGGCTCAGCGGCCATGGCTCACGGGCCCAGCCGCTCCGCAGCATGCGGTATCTTCCCGGACCGGGGCACGAACCCGTGTCCCCTGCATCGGCAGGCGGACTCTCAACCACTGCGCCACCAGGGAAGCCCAGCCAGATCCATTTATTTTAGAAAATTTTTATATAGTAGAAAAAGTGAAGACTAAAACTAAAATGTGATGCCCTTTTATTCCTATAAGCCTGGCTGAGCCTTTTCAGGAGTTGGTAATATTGGAGTTGACTGGGGAGAACACACATGGTTAATAGCATGTGTGTTGGAACAGCCTTTCTTGAAGTAGATTTTGCAAATTGTTTTTTTTTTTTTTTTTTTCTCACTGCTGTGGCCTCTCCCGTTGCGGAGCACAGGCTCCGGACGCACAGGCTCAGCGGCCATGGCTCACGGGCCCAGCCGCTCCGCACAGCATGTGGGATCTTCCCGGACCGGGGCACAAACCCATGTCCCCTGCATCGGCAGGCGGACTCTCAACCGCTGCGCCACCAGGGAAACCCTTTGCAAATTGTTTGATCCAGGATTTTAATTCTTAAATTTCTCCTAGTGAAATAATCATAGAAATTCACAAAGTATTATATATGATGAATAAATTATGTTCATTATAGCACTGTTTATAATAATGGAAAACTGGAAACAACCCAAAAGGTCATAATAAAATAGCTGGTTAAATAAAATTTCACATAATGGGAAATTCTGCAGCCATTAAAAACGATGATGTAAATCTACACATTTAAATACAAAGAGGGTAACAATATTATGACCTGCACCCTGTTAAATCCAATGGTCAATTCTCATCTGAATTTGACTCCGTGTGGTTCCAGGATACCCATCCTCTGGCTTCTCTGCAGCCTCACTGGCTGCTCCTTCTCTCCCCTACTGTTGAGGTGCACTGGTCCTCTTCTCTCTCTATACTCACTACTTTGGTAAAGTCAGTTAAAGTCTCATGGCTTTATGAGTATACATATGTGGACAATTCTCAAGTGTGCATCTCCAGCCAGACCTTCTCTCCCAAACTCCAGATTCTTTTATCCAGCTGCCTACTTAGCATCACCACTTGTATATTTAATAGATGTCCCAGCAGGTTCAAAACTGAATGCCTGGTCTTCTCCCACTAACTGGCTCTACCCACAGAATTCCCCATCTCAGCTAATGGCAACTACAGTCTTCTGTTTGCTCAAGGCAAAGCCCTTTTAGTCATCCTGATGGCTCACTTTTTCTCACACCCTGTGTCCACTGGGTCAGTGAAATCTGATCTCTCCACCTTCCTGTCCACCACCCGAGCCACCAGGATCTCCCACCGAGATCACTGCAGTGACTCCTAACTGACCTCCCTGTTTCAATCCTTGCCCTGCAGGGCCTATTCTCAATCCAGCAGCCATCTGTTAAGATTTAAGTCAGATCCTGTCACTCCTTGCTCCAGTGTCAGCAGTATGTCCCAATTTCATGCAATGTAAAAGCCAAAGTCCTTCTGAGACCCATTTCCCCACTTTTCTTTCTTTCTTTCTTTAAATAAATTTATTTATTTAGTTAGTTAGTTATTTTTGGTTGCGTTGGGTCTTGGCTGCTGCACGTGGGCTTTCTCTAGTTGCAAAGAGCAGGGGCTACTCTCCGTTGCGGTGCACAGGCTTCTCATTGCAGTGGCTTCTCTTGTTGCGGAGCGCGGGCGCTAGGCATGCGGGCTTCAGTAGTTGCAGCACGCGGGCTCAGTAGTTGTGGCTCACGGGCTCTAGAGAGCAGGCTCAGTATTTGTGGCACACGGGCTTAGTTGTTCCGCGGCATGTAGGATCTTTGCAGACCAGGGATGGAACCCGTGTCCCCTGCATTGGCAGGCGGATTCTTAACCACTGCGCCACCAGGGAAGTCTCCCCACTTTTATTTCCAATGTAACACAAGCCTTTTTGGTATTCCTTGCACCTACCAGGCATGTGAGCAAAGAGCTTTGGACTCAGTTTCAATTCTAGCTCTATTAATAGAATGCCTCCAACCTTTTGTTTCCCATTTGCAAAATGGGAATCCTGTACCATCTGCCTCCCAGGATTAAGATGGAAGTGCTTTTTAACATTCAGACTTTATGTAGGTACCAGCACTTTTATAATTTTCACATATGACCTCTAAAACTTGTCTTGCTTTGCTTGAGAATTTCTTATTATTTCTAGTCCTCTGTTTATATTTGATCAATTCAAACAATCTACTGTATGGCTTCTTTTATACCAGGTACTCTGGGGGTATGAGAATAGCCAGGTCATGTTCTCTTAAAGAATTTACATGCTAGAAGTGGGAGATGGGCCTATTAAAAGCAAAAAGTGCATGAAGCGTTGCAGGTGCTCTGATAAAAACAAAGCACAGATGAAGCACAGTGAGGGCGACAAAGGAAGAAATCAGATCTCTCAGGATTGACGGGGAGAAATGGGAGAAGGGAGAAAGGGAGCCATAAAAAGTTTTATAGAGGTGACCTTGTACTGAATCCTGAAAGATGGTAGGTAAGGTTAGGCAAACAGGTAGGGAAGGGAAAAGCCTCCCCGACTACTCCCATCTCACACTCTTAAAGCACACCTGGTATTTACCACATTTTAATTAATTCCTTTTGAGGGTGATTCTTTATTCATTGTTGATCTCACCCACCAAGTATAACTGCACCCAGAGAGGCTCCGTGTCTTTCATATTCATTTCTGTACCCTAGAGTTCAGCATAGTTCTTGGCCCAAGGGAGGGAAGAAGGGAGGAAGGGAGGAAGGGAGGAAGGCGTGGGGAGGGAGGAAGGAAAGTCAAGTCTTGGTTAAGAGGACAGGTTTGGGAGTCAGGTGGTCCTGGTTGGAGTCCCAGATATACAGTTTGCTAGCTGTATGACCTTGAAAGAGTTACTTGACCTCTCTGTGCCTTAGTTCCCTTTTTTTTTTTTTAACCTGTTGATCTATTTATTTATTTGGTTGCACTGGGTCTTGTTGCAGCAGGTGGGCTCCTTAGTTGCGGCTCATGGGCTCCTTAGTTGTGGCATGTGGACTCTTAGTTGCAGCATGCATATGGGATCTAGTTCCCAGACCAGGGATCGAACCCGGGCCCCCTGCATTGGAAGCTCAGAGTCTTAACCACTGTGCCACCAGGGAAGTCCCCTTAGTTCCCTTTTCAGTTAAAGGAAAATAATAATACTTGCTTCTTTTGTTTTTACTATTCTTTTACTTTTTTTTTTTTAATAGCTGCTTCTTCATAAGGCTGTTGAGGATTTACTGAGATTGTTTTTGGAAAGGCTCAGCACGTTGAAAGGCACATGCTTTGAATACTAATCCTATCCTCCAAGGTTCTCACCCTCTTAGGCCAAATTACAAGAACTCTCTTAGAGCAAAATGAAGGTGTTTCTCTGTCTCAAACATCATAACAACTTAGGCTTTTCTGTTTTGTTTTGTTTTGTTTTGCAACTTGGCTTTTTTATATATAGACACACAGACACACACTTAGTCTTAATGGCTTCCTTTGATTTCCTTAAAAAAAAGAGGACTTCTGTGGTTGAGTGTCTGAATTGCTGTACCATTAGAAACAGTGCCTGCAGCAAACTGCTTTGTCTCATTTACTCATTTTGGAGGACACTTGTATTTCAGGGTTGTCCTCGGCTATCTTTCTGACCCTAGTGAAGACATTCAGGATCCAGTGAGTGACAAATTCTTCAAGGAGGTGTGGGTTTCAACGGCAGCTCGAAATGCTACAATTTATGATAAGGTGAGGTTCACATATCCTGCTCCTTTTTTAATTGAATCACATCACAAAAGCACATAATTATTTCTGCATATTATTGGCACAGTGTATTCTTAATGAGTGTAAGAAACCAATACACCTCCAAGGTATAATAAAATACTTTTTGGTAGACATTAAAAAAACAGAGTCAAAAAGAGGCGTGGATTATTGTTTAGAAGAGACTTTAGTGGCATTCTGGTCTCAGAGTCCAGAATCCCATCATAAGCATCCTTAGCAGGTGGTTACCCAGCCTTTATACATGTCTAGTGACAAAGAGAAAAGAGGCAGATGGGATCAAAAAATGAGTCAGACTTGGGTTCAGCCCAGCTCACACAGTTGCTGGTGATATAACTATGTGTATAGTAATTTGATGTTCTGAGCCTTCCTTTCTTTCCTCTCCTATAAGTTGGGAGGAACATTCACCAGGTGGTCGTGAGGATAAAGAACAGTCTATTAAATAAAGAACAGTCTATTAAATGTATTTAGCACATAGTACATATAGTAAATGGTGTCCATCCTAATGATGAAGCTTATTAATAATGAGAAACTTCCCCATTTGGACAGCTCTAATTTTGGAAAGGTGTTTTAAAACCAACTTCGTTTGTTAGGGAGGCTAAATGCATCTTCTGGTAAGTTCCATCCATTGGTGACGATAAAGAGTGTACAAGAGTTGAGTCACCCGACACTGAAACAGGTTACATCGTGAAGTAGCCAGCATTCCATCATAGAAAATATTCAAGCTGAGTTCCACTGACCATCTATTATAAACTGGGTGAGAGTGCAGTCTTCTTCTGACTTCCAGAGTCCCCTCGGCACAGAAAATTCATCATTTCTAATGAAACATGGCAACTATCTACATAGCCTTATTTCATACTGAGACCTCAAGGCCATGATCAAATAGGTTGTGTGCATGGAGTCTTTTCAAATGTAATTTTTAAAAGCCTAGTTTGGATCCTGGATTGGGAGGAATAACAGCTATAGAAGACATTTTGGGAATAATCGGATAAATCTGAAAATGGACCATATCTTAAATAACATAGAATTGATTTTCTGAGGTGTGGGAATTGTATTGTGGTTATATAGGCACATGTCCTTATTCTTAAGAAAGACATGCTGAAATATTGAGGTGTGAAGTGTTGTGATGTGTGAAACTTATTTTCAGTTAGCAATATACATGCACAATTGATAGCTTTAAGTACAGGTACAGATATAAACATTTTTCAAAATTAAAAAGTTAGAGAAACTATAATACACAATTTTCCTTTTAGACCAGAACCTCCAGTGAAATTCAGGGGTGATTATTATCCAAAAAGAAAGGTATCACCCATGAAACTCCTTACCACTAGCTTGACTTTATCCTGAGGTCAATCATTTATGTAGATCAGATATAGGATCTGTGTTGATTTTTTTTTTTTGAAGGAAGCAAATCTAGCACTCTCTTTGTAGCAAATAAAAGAAGCAACCCTTCAATCAGGTCTGCGCTGTAACATAAAACTAATTAATATGTGTTTCATAAAACAAAGGTTTTGTCCGTCGGAATGAGTATTTTCAGTAAAGGGGATACGCTTTCCTTTAAACCTATCACTCAGTTTCCTATTTAATTAGGTGTTCCGGTGCCTTCCCAATGATGAAGTACACAATTTAATTCAGCTGAGATACTTTATAAGCAAGCCCATTTTAGCAAAGGAAGATCCCATTAGAGCTGAGGAAGAACTGAAAAAGATCCGTGGGTTCTTGGTACAATTCCCCTTTTACTTCCTGTCTGAAGAAAACCTACTGCCTTCTGTTGGAACCAAAGAAGCCATGGTGCCCACCGAGGTTTGGACTTAAGAGTCATACTTGTTTGCAACTCAAAGACTTCCACCCTGAAGAGTACATGTCACACAGTGACTTTCTGGAGACCTAACAGCCATAGCCGGACCCAGTGCCTCTTGTATCCAACCCTTGGACCCTTTGGGTTGGCTGGGAAGGACTGTAGTCATACTGATATAAGGACAGTGAAAATCAGCAGGGCTTTATAATTCCTCCTGCCTATCTCTGTGGAAAAAGGACTGTATTCTTAGGTAGCATATACCCAGCAGCTTAAACACATACTAAAATTCCATGATGTATATACCAAACTGCATTTTCTTTGCTAAAAAGAATTTACCTGTCACTGTGATCTACTTTGCCAAAAGTTGTCTGAACCTCCTTATTTTTCTCTGACCCTCACTTATGCAATTGATGTCTGCTGGACCTGTCTTCCTCTCATAGTCCATACAGGCTCTGTTTGAGGTATTGTCTATTGCTAGAAGATGTTGTGATGCTGCTTCAAGGTTATTTAAGGTTACATGGGTTGCTCCTGCCCCTGCCCTTCTGGCCCCGGAGTAGTCGTGTGCACCCAGCCAAGGATGTGGTCCTTATTCCTTTCCAGTGACTGAAAGGACAGGACAGACCTTAGTCTACACAACAGCCCATGTTAGGCACTTGTGACAACATTGACAGCATGTATGTTGACACCACAGATCAACAGGAAGAAATTAAATTCGGTTATTAAGGCAGAGATTTCACTTTGCCTCCAAAGGCATTGACAAGATGTGTCCTTTTGATAGGGCCCACCCTATCAGATTTGAAAACGTGTAGGATATTTGATTACACAGCAACGGATAAAACTCAAAGACACAGCATGCAGCCTCCAGCAATCTTCAACCTTTTGGTGGGAATCTGATCCAGATAAGAAAAGAAGATTTCTTACAGTCCTGTAAAATTTCCTGTCATCCTTAGCTGCTGGATTGATTGAAATTTGAGTTTCTACATTTCAAAGTCAAACCAATGAATACAGCTTGTCTTTCAAGAGAATCAGGGGCTTCATAACTCATGCCAAGTCAAGGAGTATGAACCTAACCTTATTTGACATTCAGCTCGCCAGCTATGTTACCTTCTTTAAGAAAAATTGTTTGCAAAATGCATACAACTTCACTTGCGTTATTAAATATACATTAACATTCCACCATGGTTCCAAAAAGGTTAGGATTATTTTTTAATTCACATTATCCTAGTCTGTGAATTGTTCTGGAAACCCATTTCTCCTTTTTGGAAGTTAGTGTACATACCCTTTGGTACCCCATAGCTCTAATTTTTTTTTTTTTTTCGCGGTACGCCTGCCTCTCACTGTTGTGGCCTCTCCCGTTGCGGAGCACAGGCTCCGGATGCACAGGCTCAGCAGCCATGCCCCACGGGCCATGCCGCTCCGCGGCATGTGGGATCTTCCCGGACCGGGACACGAACCCCTGTCCCCTGAATCGGCAGGCGGACTCTCAACCACTGCACCACCAGGGAAGCCCCCCCATGGCTCTAATTTTATTAAGCAGAACTATTCTTACAACCTAAAGAACTAATGTGGGTTCCCAGTGGGCCTGAGGCCATAAAACATGGTGTAGGTGCAATGATTACACCTCTATGGATTACCTGGACAGACTCTCATCCAAAGGAGTAAGGACCCACTCCCTATTTTCCTAGAACTGATAGTCCAGTGGAAAAGGTTAAACAGGAGCACAAAGTCTGTGAACTAGGTTAGTAGGAGAGAGACAGTGTCACACCCAGGAGGGTTTTACAAATGAGGTGGAACTATGTAACCAACAATGGAAATGAATATGCTTTTATGGTGGCTTGAAGATAGTAAAATGACTTCATTCTATAGCAGTTGTAAATAAGACATTTGCTATTTATGAAGTTTAGATTGGCATTTAAAGTGTTGAGTGTATGTGGAATACCTAAGGATTTTTTCATATTTTCTTTTAAAATTTTTTAAAAATGTAGAACAGTCAACAAACTGGCTCTTGAAAGGGCCCTTTCTCTTAAAAAAAAAGGCACTTAATCCAACCTCTGCCCATTTTATAGCTGAGGAAACTGAGACCCAGGTTAATTGAAGGACTCACTGAAGTTTACCCTTTAGGACCAGTGACATCGTTGGTCCATTACTGGCCTCTCCTTTCACTCATCACAGCCCCGAAAGGAGGAGATGCAGTAAATAGATTTCAGACAGGATGTCTCTAAGCTATTCTGAACCCTGTGATATTATGTATTTATGTGCTTGTCTGTCTCCCCCTACTAGAATGTAAGCTCCATGGGGCAGGGACTTTCCTGTGTTTTGTTCTTAGTGTATCCCCCAAGCCTGAAACAGTGCCTGGCTCATAGGAGGTGCTCAGTACGTGTTTGTCGGATGAATAAAGGAGTTGGAGAGCTAGTGAAATGAAAAACTTACGGAGTCTCAGACAAGAAATCTTCCTGCTGTTGCTAAAGAGACTGTTAGCAAGTTTCTTTTCTACTGCATCCTCTTAAAGGCAAGATGCTCATCTGCAAAGAGAAGGGCTGCAAGATTTATTTGGGTGGATTTTATGGAAAATTCAGTGCCATAATTGCCTGCTTTGCAGTAGCAGTTTACATAGTGCAGCATTCTGCAAAAATTGCATGGGCCGTGGACACAGGATATACCATATGGCCTAATTACCCATCATTCTCTGGCACCATTGCTACCTAATAGAAGTTCAGATAATTTATCTTTAACATCGCAATGTCTGACATAAACATTAAAATGCAAGAGATTCAGTCTTGAAAAGCTATTTTGAATCTGTTCAGCATTTTAAATTGACTATAATCTTTTGAAATGCCTATATGTGCTGTACCTGACACTCTGATAATCTCTGTAATAATTTTTGCTTTCTAGAAGGAAAAATTCTATGATTATAAGAAGTGAAGGGTAGAAAGTGGTCATGGCCTTTTAAAGCTATTCAGATTGGCCAAGCTTAGTGGTTGGAGGATACTAAACACAGCAGGTCGGGTTCAGGCATTTGCTCTGGAGCAAGTGTCCACTCAGGGACTCACCCTCCAGTGGGATGGCCTTCATTCTCAGCTGTAATGCATCACAGAGAGCTGGTCATTAGATAACTGAGTGACATATTGTAAAACAAAACATTGGTTATATTTTAATAGCACGTTTGGAAGAAAATTTTGTCTCTAGGTAGTCAAAACCAGAAGCAGTCAATCTCTTATGTAATAACTTGGGAAATTGTAACATATTGTGAATTAACAGTCTTCCAGGTGAAGGCAGTAAGCCAGGAAGTCTTTTTGCAGATATAAGACAACAGGCAGAACAGATTTTATATCATGGAGATCCTGCACGTCTTTCTGCCCCTCCTCATTCCTTATTCCTTCAACCTCTTTCCCCAACCAGAGCCCTTCCGTGTTATGGAAACCATTTTAGAGGACAAGAAAAAGCTTTCTGGGAAAAAAACAACATTAGGCATCTAAAATAAATCTTCAGTTTAACTCACACTTTTAAGTGATTGACAAAATATTATCATTTTTCAACAGAGGTAGTGGTTCTTTTTAGCATCTCTGATCTGATGTGGCACTTGAGCACTTTCAGATGCCGGTCACCCTCTGGAGAGGGGCTAAAGAGGGCCCGTCATGTCTTCTCATCCCTCTCAATTCTCCCATGTATGAAAAGTGCGCAAACGCTAAAGGATTTTCAGTGTGCTTAGGAATACAATTTTATTTCCTTAGAAGATCCTCTGAAGTCAATTACTACTGGCAACTTGGAGGTTTAAAATGGGTTTTACCAGGCATAGGCCTTGAGAAATTCTTGAATCTAGAAATTCACTGGAAAAGGAATCCATTGCCCTCTATCCAAAAGTTGCAGGTGAAGAATCAATGGATTCGCATTATGTTTAGGGGGAGGCAGATGCCACAGTATGATTCCTAGTGGCATTTAATTCACATGTGATATATTATTGGCTTTGACTGCATATTGGAAGGATTCATTAAAGGAAACAAAAATTCTTTGGCTTAATTTATTATAGGTTATTTTCTTTTTTCCTTTATACCAGTATTAAATTTTAACTTAAAAACAAAAAGTAATCTAAGTAAGGTAAATGGAAATTTGTCACACTAATCACTTTAAACTTTTAAGTTTTAAAATCAGAGACTGGGATTGCAATCCAACCAAAATGCAGACTTAATTACACTTTCCTATTCCCTAGCAGCTATAATTGTTTGCTTTATTCTAGATAAACGCACGTAAGTGAATGTTGTACTAGCTCTGCTCAGCACTAGGAAATGTAACATCATGCTCTCCTAATGTATATTCCACTTGGATTCTTCACATAAAATTGTCCGAGTCAAAGGTACTGATATTCTCAACCATCCTAAAAATTCAAACCAAAGTATTGCAGTTGGAGCACGTCTCTGATGCAAAAACCAGATACTTGCTGGTGAACATCCATCCATTCAGAATATTCAGATATTCTGGACAGAGCTCAGGCCCTAGCCTCACCCTTATGGCAGGCTTTGGCAAACTAAGGCTGGGCCACCTGTTTTTGTAAATAAAGTTTTATTTGAATGTAGCCATGTCCATTTGTTTACATGCCTCATTACCAAATGAGCTGCAAATCTGAGAATACTTGCCGTCCTTAAGAAACGTTTACTGATCCTTCCTCTAGAGAGAGCAAAGAATGTCCCATTAGGGTACCTCAACCAAACAGATTTGGGTGAGTTCTAATCTCTTCCATAAGCAAGGTTTTCAACTCTCCATATCCCAGAGCCCAGCATTCTACAATAGATTTATTCTAACAAGGTCAAGTCCTTTCAAGAATGAAAAATCACATGTTTTTTTGTTCTGAAAAAGTTTTTGTCAACTAAAGCAATCTTCTCCCAGCTGAGCACTCATATGGAAGCGTGGTTGATAATGTTTGTAACTGAAGTGTTAAATGAGGACAGATAGGCCTAACGATTTGTATTCAGAATGACAATTGTGAACTCAAGAAACTCAGTCTCCCTGGATTTTCCTTCTGGGAAGCCTTGGAAATGATACGTGTATCCGTTCTCTGCCTCACAGTCAATGCTTTTGATGCCAAGTCCCTTAACTGCTTTTTTTAATGTAAATATTCATTAATTAAACAATTAAAAGTGTGCAGTTGGCCGTGTCCATCTACTTGAAAAGGAGATTCCTCATTCTGCGCATGGGGTTTTTACAGCCAGCGCACTGTAGGTCTGAGCTCGAGACAGTAACCTGTGCCTTTGGAGCAGATGTCAGAGCCCCAGCGTCCCCTGCTGCCCCCAGTCTT